CACGTCTTTAATGAATCACTATATACAGAGTTTGACTTCATTTGGGAATTGCCATTATAATTAGCTGTAATACATCGCTTGGGAAGCCAGCAATTTTCAGTAACTTTTTGACCTTCTTCTTGAAAACCATTCAACACTGCTGCTGTCAAAAGAAACAGTAGATTAAAAAAAAAAAAACTGAAATCCTCGAAAATTTCCTGGCTTTCTTTGTTTTCTCAAGAAACGGCGAGCGAATAGGTTTCGGTCAATATTGCTTCCCAACAGTTGCACACCCAGAATGGCCGCAGAGAATCCAAAACCACTCAATCACTAGAAAGATGCACTGGAAAATCATCAATAGGAAAATGTACATGGCAATGACTGATCTACATTTCTCCGGAAACCAAAAAACAAATAAAAAAGAGCAGGACAAAGGAACATCCCACAACCTTCAACCTGATCAGTAGAAGCGTAACCGATTCCGATATCCGCTCCTGTCAAAATGATCAAACCACATTTAGACAAATAAATAAGATAAACACACACAAACATAGTTGTACACGCATGCTACAGTTCTCTCTGTCCGTCATCATTACAAAGCAAAAAGAGAGAAGAATCATCTACGCGACATAAGATTTTATAGAAAAAGAAAACTGAAAATCTGAAGTGACAGAGCAAAAAAACCAAAAATGGCGAGTTCCGCTGTCGAAGGCGCCGAGGATTGCAGGACGCCTCGTCTCAGTGAGGGGAGCGAGAGAGAGAGGTAAGTGACAGACAGTATAGCTTAACGAATAAGAAAATGGAGAAACCCTGTCATAAATGCGGTCAAGACTAAGGAATCCGGACTTGAAATTTTATTTCAAATTGTTTTTTTGGCCAACGCTCAGCATTTTCTAATTATGTATTTACTTTTATTCCATTTAATTTTAATCAAATTAATTTTTATATTTTTTTAAAAAATATTCGAATTAATTTCTCTCTATAAAAAAAAAAAAAATCATTAGCACCGTTAATAATTTAAATATATAGCATAATTTAACTATTTAACTTTATAATTTAAATACAATTTATCAAAAATATCACCATAAGTATTTAAATATAATGTTAGAAGATTTATTTTTTTCATTTCTCAAAACAATGTAGATCTTTTTTAACATACCTATTATATTACATGTCAAATCATATGATACTAGAAAGGTAATGTTACACATCTAAATTATTAATAATTTTGTAATTATTAACAGAAATAGAATACTTTTTTTTTTTTTGAAAATTTGATGCAAAATTAAGAAAGAAATCAAATCAAATAATATATAAATTAAATATTTTATATATACGTATACACTGAATTTTTGGTTAGCAAACAAAATGTCTAGAAATAAAAATTATGAATTTAAGGACAAATTTCAATTTAGTGGTTGTTGTTTACCGTTTCTCAATTTAAAACTTAATAAACTATATTAATTCTATTAAGAGT